CTGACTCTTGACAGGCTTCAAGGCCTATTCCCTTCCCCATTCTAGGCTTTGTCTAGGCAAACTAGTAAAAAAAATCTGCACACACTCTCTCTCTCTCTTAGCCGTGGTAGGAGTATCAAACCATGCAAGTCAGGCCAGCAGCAGGGACCCTCAGCCCGTCCCAACCCCTTCTCATAATAAATACTTAAGCCGGTCATCCCTCCCTGCTCTACAGCCATTTTTAGGACTTACTTGGAGGCTTGTCCTACTTTTCTGAAAAAGCCCCATTCTGTGAGTAATAAACCTTTCATGTCTTCTTAATTGGTGTGTGCTTTCAGGAGACGACATCCAAACTAAATTTTATATAGGGGTTGGAGGTAGATTAAGACACAGTCACATTTTAAGGCTCCTATACCCAATACCAGGGAAGTTACACATGAAGAAACTAGCAAATACTTATCAGTCATTGCTTTGGCTATTTTGTTCTCTCCTGTTCCTATTTTATCAGGCTTTCCATGGTTTATTTTCACCTAGGAGGGAGCACAACACCTGCAACTGGCTGCCTGTGACATACTTCAACAGCACTATGACCCTGTCTGTGCCAGTGAGATCATGGCATTCAGCTCTCTCCAGGAGTACAGACATGACCTGACACTGAGAACGTCCTCCTCTATGGAAATTCATTTAACACACTTATTCAAAACACAAAACCATTCACAAAAGGCTCAAAAGAGGAAAAGCCATTGCCCCACACAAAGAATAAGACTTAGAATCTCACTTAAGTCCCAAAGAATTTGATCTCTCCATCCCTGGCATTATCTTAGAAACAACTACTGAGCCTGCCTTCCCCCACAGTGTTGCAAGCCCAACATCTTTTAGGCCTTTTCACATTCTAAAGATAACATATTCCTCATTTATAAGTTTTACTTAAGTCCACCTATAGTTCTTTGAGGCTCTGTGCACTTCTTTCCATAAAGGCTGTCCTAGTCTGCCGTCCCACAAACAGTGCCCTTCTCTGTGTTCCCACACCAGCATCTGATGGTTTGGGACCTTGTGATGTGGGCCATTCTCATTTGGGTTAGGTGCTATCTCAAAGTGGTTTGATTTTTGCATTTCTCACATAATTAGAAATAATGGGCATTTTTTTCCTGAGTTTGTTGGTCATTTGTCCTCATGAGAAAAGATCTGTTCATGTCTCTTGTCCAGACTTTAATGGGTTTGTTTGTCCCTTCTTTGTTGATTTGCATGAG